AAAAAAACCCCCACCCACCACCTAGAGAAAACACTATATTTTCTCCCTCTGATGTATCAGCAAGCCAAATGGTGATATCTCTGAATTTGAAGCAGCTGATTACAAGATTTTAGAGACCAAGTAGCAGGTGATCATCCTTCTAATTATACAAATTATATAGAGAAACAAATTACTTGAAAGTTTTTCTTCCCTTTTATTGTTCTTTTTTCTTCTTTTTCTTCCTTTTGATTTGCATGAATAGATAGATCATCAATCAGTTAGTTCAACTCTGAGCAAACTATTAATCAAATATTAATAAATCTAGCTACCCAAAAAATTCTGGTCCTTTTACAGAGAAAATCAAGAAGCAAAGGGAAAAACTGGCAAAACTTTTCTCATTGATAGATCAATAAGATTTATATATACTTAGCTTTCTTGGATTCTTTATGATTATTAGTTTCTAGGAAAAGGGTTTACTTTCTTCTCCCCCTAACTTCATTTTTGTTTTTCTTGAGTCGAGGGTTCTATCAAAAATAGTATACACACTACCCTCCTCAAATCTCATTTGTGAACTAACACAGGATATATTATTGTTGTTGTTATCATCTTGCGTTGACTTGGTCAAACAAATCAGTTAGATAAATGTATTATAATTTGATACAAGGATGATAAGTAGAATTTTCAAAGAGTAATTCTCCCTTTTTCAACAATCTGCGTATTATGATGAATTAAATGGGGAGTCCGGTGCGTAAATTATCCTGTTTTCATGTAGGGTCTAGAGAAGACCTCCACAATAAGAGGGTGTGATGTAAGAAGCACATCTTGATGTGGCTGATTCTACCGTTCGAACCTGTTTAAGTCATACGTAGACAACTTAGCCATTGCTCTGAGCCTCCCTTCTATTCATGAAATAACTATTGCTTGCAAAAGAAGCTAGGGTTAATCAGGAATAGACATTAATGAAGCTTTTTTTTATTATTTGTGAAGTATCTTAATCTGGTTAATTAAAAGTATTGCAATATCCCTTATCAAGTTAATTAATCTAATTAGAAGATGTATATAAATGATATTTTTATTTTATCTATGATGCATTAGCTTCTGTGTTGTGATTTATTTATTTATTTTTTCATTTTTTTTGGCGCTAAAAATGAAATACCCTTTTTGTTCCCTTTCATTTAACATAGCATAACTTTGAATTAATTTTGTTATACTTTTTTTAATCAAGAAAATTCTACATTTTTGTTCTCCCGCTTTTCTTTTATTTTTATCTTTTCCCTAAAGAACCTACCAACTTCAGCTTGTTTGTTTGAGAGTTAAGTTTTCTTTACGTCATATGCTGTTACATTTATATTGGTAGGAAAAAATAAACATATAGAAATTACCATTGAATTTCCCGACAGATTTTATACCTGCTACATTTCATTTTTCACATCTGTCAACTTCCTAACAAGAAGTTTAACACTGTCTGAAATTTATTCCACGGTTGGAGAGTGTAAAACTGCAGGTACAACAACAGACTGGATACAAATATATAACTCGAAAGAAGTTCGCCGTGAAACTTTTCTTAAGCAAATGCACATCGAAATGAGATGAAAATTTGGGGAATATATAAGGGTAATAGTTCAATTGTTGAGACACCTTTTGGATTAAAATTCAAGTTGTCAAAATCGCAAGGCCCGAAAGCGTTGAGGCGGGCCAGAGGATCGGGCCAAAGCGGACAATAACTTAGCAATTAGATCTAGGTCGTTACAAAAGATTGTAATTTATGGAATTTTTAAATAAGCTTTTTTTTTTTTTAAAAGCATAGAAATTGGTATGTGATTTAACTACAAACAATAAACAAGTTAATCCTCATTTCCTAATCATGCCATTTCTTTCAAGACGTACGGAGGAATATATTTATATGTCAGATGAAGAAATAGATATAGAATTTCCTCTCCCAAAGAAAAACACTTAAAATGTGCATTGTTCACTAGAATTGAAATTTCAAGTTGTAGGCTTTACGTGGTAGTTTATGCTCTATACACCACAAATATTCTCTTATGTCAATTTATAGATTTCAAAAATATTGAGAATTCCTAATACTTTGTATGTGTATAACATTTGACATCATGATGTGATTAGATAGAGTAGCATCGTCAATGCGGACTCATATAATCAACCTGAACTTGTTTAAAACTGAAGCGTAGTTATTTTATTCTCTTATTTCGATATGTTTTACTTTTATTCCAACATATTGATTCCTATTTTTTGTTTTGTAAATACACCAATTCAGGCCTGTTCTTGCATCAAGAAACTCTTTGTAGTAATGTTTGTCTAAGGCTAATAGCAAGTGAGGAATACATGGAAAAGGTGTCATATTCCATTGATTTGAATGAAGAAGCTAATAACAAAAGGGAAACTGATGAAACCATTGAACTTAGTGATGACATGATAGAGAAAACAGCAGAAGGAAACAGTAGCTCTGAGGATATTGGAAATTATGAAAATAAGAGCAGCAGAGTTAGGCAATATGTTCGATCAAAATTGCCAAGGCTTCGTTGGACTCCTGACCTTCATCTCTCTTTTGTTCGTGCCATTGAAAGACTAGGTGGTCAAGAAAGTAAGTACATCTTCTACTTTAAAATGTAGGTATACACCGTGCGTAGAATTTTTACACTATCTGGTCACATATACTTTGTTATAGTCAGTAAACAAATTTATTTTCAAGATTATAAATATCATATTTTAAGGAGGCTTACCGTAGATATCCTTTGGTTAACGTGATACTGTTAAAAAAATATATACGATGTATATAACTTAAACTCTTTTAGAAATATATCGATGATGCATTTTTTATACTATTGGGTCACATATACTTGTCATAGCAAGTAAGTAATCTTATTTTCAAGATTATAAATTTCACATTTTAAGGAGGCTCTTACCATAGATATTCTTTGGTTGACGTAATATTGTTAAAAAAATATATAATTATACTGACGATATATATAACTTAAACTCTTTTAAAAATATATTGACGATGCATTTTTTATACTATCGGGTCACATATACCTATCATAGCAGGTATAAATTTCACATTTTAAGAAAGCTTACTATAGATATCCTTTGGTTGACCTGATATTATTAAAAAAATATTTTTATACTGACCATGTATAAAACTTAAACCCTTTTCAAAATATATTGATGATATATTTTTATACTATCAGGTCACACTACTTATCATAGCAGATAAGCTGTCTTATTTTCAAGATTGTTTCACATTTAAGGAGGCTTACCGTAGATATCCTTTGATTGACATGATATTGTTAAAAAATATACTTACACTAACGATGTGTATAAATTAAACTCTTGTAAAAATATACCGACTATGCATTTTTTACACTATCGGATCACATATACCTATCATAGCAGGTAAGCTATCTTATTTATAATATTGTAAATTTCATATTTTAAGGAGGCTTACCGAGATATCCTTTAGTTCACGTGATAGTGTAAAAAACTATATTTACCTTGACAATGTATATAACTTAAATTTGTTTAGTGTAAACATGATATTAATTGGTTCTTCAGATGATGAATGTGAGAGGACTCAGCATTGCCCATGTAAAAAGTCATCTGCAGATGTATCGAAGCAAGAAACTTGGAGAGTTTGGACAAGGTAAAACCCTCAAAAACAAATTGCAAGTTTTTCCTTCTTTTGGGCTACTTTTGCAAGGTAAGCATTGATACCTATATCAAAATTCAGTAGCCTAAGTTAAGAAAATTCCTTGAAAACTAGGATTACTACAAGCATTTCCTAGGCATTATTCAATTCTTAAGATAGGAAAAGTCACTCAGTAGCCGAGCCAGAAATTTGTCTTTCACACACATATTTATACTAAGTAATATGAATTCTCATTTTAATTAATAGCGGGTAAGTATTTATCTTTAATATTATGCAATTCTTAAGATAGGCAGTAGAATTAATGGTGGAGCCAAAATTTTATACTCCAACGTAACTTAAAAAATTACGAGATTGTCATACATATAGTTGGGATTTAAACCTTAGCAACTTATATAACCCCTTTTTCACTACACTAGACTATTTTGTTTATGTGAAGGACATTTAATAGTTTATATATAAAAAACGTTTCACAATATAATTTTCTGATAATGGGAATTGAATCTCGTTTAGCGCACCACTGGAAGTAGTATTAAGTTCAAATGATATGTTTAAATCCTGACCCCACCTCTGACGTATACATCTAATAATTTCTGTATGCCCTTTTTCTATTTTTCAATGATATACAAGCTATTGAACTTACATGGTGCTTCTTTTTGACAGTACTAGGCCATGCTCATAGACCAATGCAAGGAAAAAGTTATTTCTGTGGAAATTTAAGCCAAAGATTTAACCCTCTTCAAGACTTCAAAATGAAGAATGGTGCAATTGTGTTAGCAAGGAATTTTAATAATGATGATAACGTTAACCACCATTTCCAAAATTCACTTTCCAGACATCGACATGAGACAAAGGAAAAATTTTCCAGGTGACCTAGTTAATTAGTATTCCCTCTATTCCATTTTATTATAACTTTCTCGGCCTTTTGGCTAAGATCAAGTATAGTATTTGTTCTTATCAGTTTAATATCTGATATATGGATTATCAGCCCATGCAATATTAACTCGTTTTTTAAGGGAGAAGACCCAGTAGGGTAGCTTGCTACCTGGGCCTTCGCACGTCGCCTAGGCGTTGTATTACAGCCCAGGCCAAGCGTACCCTAACAAAGAAAAGAAAAAGATATTCCATTTTATGTGACACTATTTCTCTTTGACACTAGTTAAATAATGACAACTTTCTATATTTGGAAAAAATTCAGCTTTAAACTTTTTATTTTATATATCCTTATTAACATGATTTATAGCTACACTAATATCATGGCATGTTTACGACCACAAATTTCAGAAGTTTTTCTTTCTTTTAAAATTCTGTGCTTAATCAAATAAATTCACATAAAATGAAACTGAGGGAGTAATATGTATCACATTGCTCTTAAGATTTTGAGAAGCCTGAAATTCTCTTTATCTAACGTCTACTATCAATATTCTTACTCAATTTGCTCATATATACAGATATTTGGAATGGTCTTCCAATCAAGGAACCAACAATTTGTTCAGAATGAAAATCTTGCAGACTGGAAACCATGAAATCGGTCCTGTTAGACAAAGCCATTTTCTTGAAGAAAAACGGTGGCCTCCAATTAGTGAATTTAAGGAAAATCAATATGGGAAGGGAAAGAGGGTTTCTTTGTCAAATATTTCCTCCAATAAGAATTCTCAATCTTTGTTTCAACAAAATAATTTTGTACAACAACCCAAGTGGAGGTGCAGATACAATAGCCTTGAGCCAAAGTTTGAGACTCCTTTCAGACTTGAGGTAAATCTTTTCAGATTTAGTTTGAGTTTTACTTCTATATGTAACCGAGTTTTTATACTAGTAGGCCACTTGAAAGATAAAACAAGTAACTAGCAGTAATAAGTAGAACAAGTTACCTGGAAAAATAATACATAAATTCAGGTATAACATGTTAAATTACTCATAGTATGTAGGGCAGCCCGGTGCATAATGTATGCCGCATTCACGTAGGGCCCGGGGAACTGCCGCACCTTAAGAGTGTGATGTAGACACCCTACCATCTGTTTTAAAAGGAAGAATTGGGACTCGCACCAGGGCGGAGAACTCGTAAAACGCCCCTGGGATTATGGGTGGGGCTTAGTTCCGTGAGATTTACGCCTCAGTCGTCGGGGCTTACGCCCCGGACATGCCCAACACCCAGCGTACTGGGCTCGCCTAATAGAATTTTATGCAATTATGTGTAACTAACCTTATAAATCCACAAATTTTCTTAATAAATCGTTAACTATTCAAAATTACTTTTTTCTTAATCTTAAACCATTAAGTTGAGAATATTTAATATCATAATTAAAATAAATATTATTGCACGTTATCCACTAAGACTGCTATGATAGTAAATATTAAATAAATCTTTCATTTAAAAATATCTATTTATTAACTTTTGTTATGTCTTTATGATATAATAGTCCATAATTATTTTATAATTATTTTCATAAATATTATTGTTTTCATGTTTACGAGATACAATACTTATTAAATTAATAGCTCAATATTAACTATTAACTATTTACAAATAATTTGTTATCTTGGTATATTGTATGGTGACTTATGTGTCACTTTATTAACTTGTTGAAACTTAAAAATAAATGATGCTA